ATACTTATATATACTATATCCCGTTTTGCAAATAATTTTGTATATATATTCTATCTATGTATGATATTTCGCATGTGTTAGTGGGTTACCAGCATCATTCGCTGACCGGGCGTCGTCCCATATATATTTGTGTTTCTTTTAGGTGCTGAGTAGAGGCGAGTACGGTCTAGAGACAGATAGTGTAGATCCCTCGAACATTGTAATGGTTTTGGCCTGTGTGCCTTTGATAGACTTTAGACTTATTGTTGTTGACCTTGTTCTTGGATAGACAGATTATGTTGATGTAGTTTACGCCTGTGCGTTCACCATTGTGTGGACGTGGCATAACACTCTACGTTTTCCATCTATTTCATGTTTAATTCTTCTGTTGTGTATGCTTTTATTGTTAGAATTATCTGCATGTTTAAGGTTTAAATTGGTATTGAAATCGGGGGTGTTACAAGTCAATGGACTTCACGCAAATCTCATAAGTATAAGTCAACTATGTGACCAAAACTGGAACGTGTGCTTCACCAAAAATAACTGCAGTGTCCTGGACAAAACAAATCAGAAGGTAAAAGGTCAATTGACAATTGCTATATTCTAACTAACATATCTTCTGTTGCAGGACCAGCATAGATGAAACTGAGCTATGGCACCAAAAACTGGGGCATCTGAGTTACAGACTACTTGATAAACTAATGAAGATAGAAGGTGTTCGTGGTTTAACCAAGATGAAAGTCGAATCAACCATTTGTGGTGCCTGCCAAGCTGGGAAACAGACCAAATCATTTCATCCAGCTCAACAGACCATAAACACGAGTCACTGCCTAGAACTGATCCACATGGATCTCATTGGTCCTACTCAAACAGAGAGTTTTGGAGGTAAGAAATACATACTAGTATGTGTTGATGATTTTTCACGTTTTTCGTGGGTAATCTTTCTCAGGGAAAAATCCGAAACACTTGAAGCTTTCAAAACACTGGACTGAAAATCCAAAAGGAAAGAAATGAACCTATTATTCGAATTCGAAGTGATCACGGACGGAAATTCGACAACAACTTATTCGATGCCTTTTGCAATCAATCAGGAATTATCCACGAGTACTCAGCACCAAAGACACCTCAACAAAACAGAGTCGTTGAATGAAAAAACCGCACCATTCAAGAAATGGGACGAGTCCTGCTCAACGCCAAAGGATTACCTCAAAAATTCTAGACAGAAGCTGTAAACACCGCATGTCACATCCCCAACCGAGTCTATCTTCGGCCAGGCACAAGTTAAACACCGTATGAATTATGGAAAGGTAAGAAACCGAATATTAAATACTTTCACATTTTTTGCTCACGATGTTTTATTTTGAAGGATAGAAATCCTGTTGCAAAATTTGAACCAAAAAGCGGCGAGGGGATCTTTCCCGGTTATTCAACGAACATCAGTGCATATCGTGTATACAATAAAGTGACAAAGACCATCATGGAGTCTACAAATATTGTAATTGATGATCAACCGAATGATATTGTTGAAGTTTCACAACCTGTGTCAGTGACAGAACCTGACGCAAACCTTTCTGAAACTCCTGATCCTGAAACTCCTAAACCAGATCCAGAATCACCCACGCCATATGAACCTGACCCAGAACTAGAATCAAAATCTGACACTGATCAAGACGACATTGACATTCCAACACGCATCCATAATTGATCACCCATCTTCAAAATTAATTTTGTCATCATCGTTGGTGATAAAGTTTACAGGTTCATTACTCTCTAATTCCCTTTGTTAATTCCTTGAATGTTTTTAGGGTGTCATTGTCTAATGTGTCTTGTGAAATACCTGCCAATATTCCTATGTCTAAAGCTGAGTTTTTATGTATTCCTTTACCTAATCTGGTGCTCTCTACTTCAATATCCTTGCATTCATCAAATGTTGACAATTCTTCATCTTTGCCAGTGTAATATTCTGCATCTGTGATAGAATCTATTTCAAGATCAGAGAATTTATCTTTTGAATTAATGGTTCTGTTCCTACATGCTCTCACATTGCATCTATGTCTTTTTTTTTTTTTTGGAGTGTGTCTATGATTGATTTTCCCTCTATTTTATTGTTTTAATTTTCTCGCAAATAGTCCTTTTCGTCGCCTACTACTCTATGTGTTTACTAAACTGCGGATTGATTCTTTGAGTTTTGTTCTTGACTGTTTTCTATGTGTTTACTTATGTTCTACTTGCGTTGTTTTGAGTGCTTTTGAACTGATAAACCTATTTTTGCTTAGGTTATTTTATTGGTGTTTCTTGTGTTGAATCTTTGAATTCTCTATGGTTACTAGAATGAAAATTTGATACAATTTGTTTAATATTTGTATTCACCTGTGTTACTTTGTGAATGTGTTTTTGTTGGTCTGGTCATGACCGTATCTGTGTTTGCTTGTGTACTTATTGTGTTAACTGTTATGAATTCTTGCCTGAAGTTGATTTATATGAATCTGTGCCTAATTTTGATCTATTTGAATCTCTGGCTGAATATGCTTTACATGACCATGCTTGTTTTGTTTGTGTGTTTTACCATGCTAGCTAGTATGAATCTGTGCTTGACTTTGGTTTATATGAATATCTGCGTAAATGTGTTTTATCTGAATGTGCTTACTGTCGTATTTCCCAATCTGTCTTCTTGAGTGACCCAACTGTGTGCTTTTTGTGTTATTTGTTACGAATTTGTGATTGAATGCGTTTGTTACTTGGTATGTTTTATCTACTTAATCTGCTCCAACTTGATTTGTGCTTATATGTTATTTGTTTAAAATTGTTATCATGTTCTGCTTTTCTCATTTTTTTTCTAATCTTCTTATGCAGGTTCAATCCAATAAGGCACTCCGTTAGACTCAATCCACTAATATAGATGTTCACCTTTGTCAATTTATTGGCAAAAAGGGGGAGTATATACTAAGGGGGAGTATGGTTGGAATAAGGGAGAGTTTTGGTTAATTCTGGAATATGGAATCTATTATGTTTAGTTTAGTTGGCATGAATGGATTATGGATTCTGTTTTGGTATAAGGGTCTCGGTTGCATTATGGATTGGATTATCGACTATAATGCATCGTGGTTTATATTCTCGATTTCTAATATTATTATGATGGACTATACTGGGATTATCTTTGGATGAAACAGTCTACAGTTTTGACTCCTCTTATAGTGAATTGAATGGGACTTATTTGGATGGAGCTACGATTCATTGGCCATGGTAATTAAAATAACTCTAATGTTTAGTGTTTTGTCAAACTGATATACTATGGGCTCTTTATAAATAAAAATGTTGTTTATTTCTTTCTATTTGCCCAAAGTATAGATGTCTTAGAGTTTGCCAATTAAATTGCCAAATGGGGAGATTGTAAGTGTACAAATGATACACATTAAACCCGTTTATATTGGCTAATTTAATTGACAAAATAATTAGGGCATTTATTTGAAATTAACATATGGGCCATGGACCGTCTCCTATCAGAAGGTATGATTTTATATTTCTACACTATGATTTCAAATTGGAGGCTTTCAAAATTATGAAGAAGAATATTGATTATGGACAGTGAAGTTAATCAGCTTTGAAGAATTAAACTTGTGGTCATGATTCAATTGGAGATATGTTAATTGTGGAAAATTGTGGAATTAATCTTGCATGGGGAAAAATAAACTAATGGCCGTGATTTGGTATAGGCAAAGGAATAGCTACGATTTTGGGAAAGGTTGTTGAGTAATTAATTATATAAATGATGGGAGAGTCTGTCTTCATTTACGATTTACGAAGCTGATATATTCAAAATCTACATGCTCATTTGATTAGCTTACTTTTTATATTAATTTAAAGGGAAAGTCGAATGTGAAGATACGTGTGCTGCATTCTAATATCAATTTATAATTGAATTGATTCTTATATATTTCTTCTCATCTAAGGTGATACGTACAGTATATTAGAGGTGTGAAATCTGAGCTACTTGAACTGTACCTGGTACTGTTAAAGCTTATTGTGAAGATTGTTCTGTCATGCACGTTTCAGTCTTGAATAGGTGTTAGGAAGGGTTGTAGTGGTAAAGGCTGGAGGCCATTTCAACTTACCTCTTGTAATACTCCTTTGGTGAACATCTATAGTGGATTGGGCAAACGTAGGTTGCCTCGTAGATGTAGGAGAAGCGCTCCGAACTGCGTAACAATTCTTTTGTGTTTTTACTTTATTTTATGCTTTCTGCCTTTGTTATTTATATTTGTTGAAACAAATTTAAGTAATGAACGTAACTGGTGCATGACTTAAAAACCAAGTAAAAATATACATTACATCTTGCATTTAGGACACACTGTGCAATTTCACTTACTACTTTCTTATTACAGGTCTAATCGGAATGTTACCATTTATAATTAGGGAATGTCTGAGCCCAAGTTTGAACTAGAGACCTCTAGTGTGTGAAACTAGTGTGATAACCAATCACACCACCCTGACAAAGTACATTTTCTTTTTTCTTATTACTAATCTAATTGGAACGACACCCTTTAGAATTAGCGAAGGAGATTTTTAATTGGAGGGGTAATTAAACCCATAGTTGTGTTTTGAAAAGTTGTCAACAAAACACTAACTATGATTTTTATTCTCATTTCTAATGTGTAAACTCATGTACGAAACATACACTAAAATCTATCAAAATATAATTAAAAAAGGAAAATATTTACCAATATAATTTCAAAACATCTCCTGGTAAAAACGCTGGTGGAATGCAAAATATCATGTTTGAGCCCAGGTTTGCACTAGGGACCAGTAATGTGTTAGATTTGCGTGATTACCAACTACACAACCCAGACAACTACATTTTTTATTTATTTTTACTAATTAAATTAGAATGATACAATTTTTAATTATGGAATGTGATTTTTAATTCGAGAAGTAATTAAATCCATAATTCTGTTTTAAAAAGTTGTCAATCAAACACTAATTTCCTAGTAAAAAAAAAAGTAGAGCTTAGAAGTAAATTAACATGTCTAAGCCCAAGATTGAACTGGGGACCTCTAGCATGTAAGACTAGCATGATAACCAACTACACCACCCAAACTAGCTACATTTTTTACTTTCTTATTACAAATCTAATCGGAATGTTATTTTAATTGTAGGGGTAATCAAATCCATACATATCCTTTCAAAAAAAAAAAAATCCATACATATGTTTTATAAAGTTGTCAACCAAACACTAATTATGATCTATCAATTGTTACTATGGAGAATAATTTATAAAATCTTGGGAGAAAAAAAACGCTCTGCATCTTCCGTTTCTTCTTCGATCGTGATCGCAATCGCCGATCACCTTCTAGCTTCGTGGCCCTCTCTCTCGATCGTGTATTGAGAGAGTGATCTCCCTAGGTCTCTCTAGGTTTTTATATTGTCGATTTCTTCAATGGAGATCATCGCATCTTTCTATAGTTTTGTTCTCGTCTCTTTGCTGTTGATTCCGATCCATAACGGTGTCATGGACATTCGACATATCGAGAAACAGTGTGCCGATCTGTCACTGGTAGATGAAGAGGTTGGCGGATTGGACGCACCCGAGATCCAGGCGACTCCCGACGGGTCGATTCACCATAACCTGGTCGGCCGTCTCCTCACGGATCGGCAGGTCCGTTTCGATCACATGCAGCAGGTTCTAGTGTCTGTTTGGCGCCCGGTAATGGGAATGTACGCAGTGTCACTAGCGGACGATCTTTTCCTATTTCATTTTTCGCACCCGAAGGATCTTCAGCGCGTGGTTGATGACGGCCCGTGGTCTTTCGAAAACAATCTTTTGATTTGTGAGCAGGTTCCGATGGGTGTTCGACAGGAAGAGGTGAAGCTGGAGTCTATCCCTTTTTGGATCCAGATTCACGGCTTGCCCACTATCTATGCCTCGCCAGATTTCCTCGCCAAGATCGGGGATTATGTGGGTGTTTTCATTGCGGCTGACCCGTTCAATTTTGGTGGGGCATGGAAGAGCTACTATCGCATCCGTGTTCGACTCACTGTCTCATCTCCTTTGAATCGCCGTATGAGGCTGAAGTGCCATGATGGAACCGTATAGTGGATCACGTTCAAATATGAACGACTGAGCACCTTCTGCTATTGCTGTGGGATTTTAAGCCATTCCGACAAGTTTTGTAAAACTGTGTACGAGGAAGATGTTCTGCCGGATGCTTTTCCATTTGGCACCTGGATGCGGGCAGGGCCGAGACGCTAGGTGAAACCAATTGGGTCGAAGTGGCTACTGCAGACCCCTACCTTGTCACCAGAACAATCTACTCTTCCTCCGGCTGGGCCATTACCGGCTGTTCTAGTGGGTTTAGAAAAATCGGGTGGGTTGCAGGGGGATCTCAAACGTAGGAGGAAAAAAGGGGAATCTGAGGCGATTGACAGGGATGTGCTGATGACCGATACTACAAAAAACCATGGGCAGGCGAGTCTGGCGGACCAGACTCGCCAAGACAAATGAGTTTCATAAGCTGGAACTGCCGGGGTTTGGGTGGCACCCAGTCATTTCGCGAACTCTTGGGCGTCATGTCCAAGCAGCGACCCATGTTCGTCTTCTTGATGGAGACGAAGGCTACTGAGTTACGAGTGGAACGTGTACCTGTAAAAATGGGGTTTGATTGCAAGGTTTGTGTGGAACGATCGGGACAAGGTGGGGGCCTCGCTTTTTTCTGGAAGGGATGTTGATGCGGCGTCTTTGTTGAGCTACTCCAATAACCATATAGATATGAAGATAACTCTACTCGGACACCCACCTTGGCGGCTCACGGGTTTCTACGGGGAGTCAGACAGATCCAGACGCCACATCACGTGGGAGTTATTACGCTAGCTTAAGGAGAAATCTTCACTTCCCTGGGTTGTCGTAGGTGACTTCAACGACATTGCATGTCTGTCAGAGAAAAGAGGTATTCATTCTCACCTGACTTCGTTAATAGAAGGTTTTAATGATGCCCTGGGAGACTGTCAGCTTATTGATTTGGGGATGACAGGGGTAGATTCACATGGGAGAAAAGTCGGGGTACCGATTTGTGGGTAGAAGAACGTCTAGACAAAGCTGTGGCCACGTTAGAATGGTTGGATCTCCATGAAGAGGTTGAGGTACAGAATATTTACATGTCCTCGTCTGACCACTGTGCTCTCTCGGTGAGAACGGATGGGAGAACTGGCGGGATGATGGGGAGGTCCTTCAAGTTTGAAGCTGCATGGCTTCTGGAGGAGGGATGTGCTATGGTGGTCGGTGAAGCATGGCGGTTGTCGTTGTGTATGAATTTCCAGGACCGTTTAGCCATATGTGGTACACGGCTTTGGAAGTGGGGAAGAGAACATCACCGACGCTTTGGCAATCGTATCTAGGGGCTGCGTCGCATTCTAGCTCGCCTTAAGGAAGATCGCTCGGGTCAGGCTATCGAACAGTTTACTGCCGCGGAACATGAGCTTGAGAACCTGCTTGTTTCGGAAGAAGCATTTTGGAGACAGATATCTAAACAACTCTGGCTCAAGCTCGGCGACGCTAATACGAAGTATTTTCACAAATCTGCAATGGCGCGCCGCAAACGTAATCAACTAACACGGTTGAAAGACCCAAATGATGAATGGCAGGAGGGCGAGGCCGTGAACGCAGAGATCCTCAGGTATTATGAGTCTATTTTCTGTTCGAGTGCTTGTAGTGTCGACCTCTTCCCCCGTGTTCAATCCAAGGTGACAGCCGAGGTTAACACCTCTCTGTTACAGCCTTTCACGGTTACGGAGGTGAAAGCGGCCCTTTTTGATATGGCTCCCGATAAGGCGCCGGGACCGGATGGCATGACACCGGCCTTTTTTCAACACTTTTGGCGGGTTCTGGGACATGATTTATCTATGTTCCTTATAAAGTGTATTGAAACCAGAAGCTTTCCACCGGGTATGAATGATTCTAACATCGTTCTAATCCCCAAGAAGTCCACTCCGGTTAAAGTTTCTGATTTGTGCCCCATAGCTCTTTGCAATGTCACTTACAAAGTGCTAGCTAAGATGCTTGCGAATAGACTTAAAGAGAGTCTAGATCAAGTTGTTTCTCAATCGCAGAGCGCTTTTGTGCCGAACCGGCTTTTGACTGATAACATTTTAGTAGCCGGTGAGATCGGGCATTTTTTTGCGAAGGAAAACTGGGGGAGTGTCAGGGTGGGCTGCGCTAAAGCTAGACATGGCTAAAGCGTACGACAGGATGTAATGGAATTTTCTGGCAGGAATAATGCGGGCTTTTGGGTTTACTGATGTTTGGGTGGAAATTATAATGCGTTGCGTCACCACCGTTAATTACTCCATTTTAGTTAACGGTGTGGCTGCGGGGCGAGGTTGCCCGTCTCGGGGTATTCGGCAAGGTGACCCTCCGTCACCTTACCTCTTCATCATTTGTGCCGAGGGTCTTTCGCTTCTCTTGCAACAAGCGGAAGCACGGGGGGATATTCATGGGGTGAGGGTGGCCCGGGGAGCTCTGACCATCTCTCACCTATTCTTTGTTGATGATAGTTTACTATTTTTCAGGGCCAACCAGCACGAGGCGTTGAAAATTAAGGAATGTTTGGAGTTGTACTGCTCGGCCTCGGGGCAACTGATTAATTTTGACAAATCCAGTAATGTGTATAGTCGCAATACTCCTGATGATCAATCGTTATGCTGTGCATCCGTATGCACCATGCATGGTGCATACGGATGCCAAAACGACGTCGTTTTATTAAAACACGCGCGTCTCCCCTTTAAAAAAAATTCAGGTTCGATTCCCAGCAACAACATTATATTGTTCATTCATTCTGGAATTTTAGTTCATAGATTATGGAATTATAGTTCATTGATTATGGAATTATAGTTCATCAATTATGGAATTGTAGTTCATCGATTCTGAAATTTTAGTTTATAGATTATGGAATTTTAGTTCATTCATTCTGGAATTTTTAGTTCATAGATTAGATTATGGAATTCTTATGTTGTTGCTGGGAATCGAACCTGAATTTTTTTTAAGGGGAGACACGCGTTTTATTAAAACGACGTCGTTTTTGCATCCGTGATGCACAGCATAATTTGCCCCTGATGATATGCGTACGTTGGTCTCGGGTCTGGTGGGGGTGCATGAAGCCCAGGACCTGGGTCGTTACCTGGGTTTGCCGTCAGTTCTGGGCCGTAACAAAATAGCGGTATTCAGGTATATTGAGGAGAACATTCGAGCACGGATTGTGTCATGGCAACATAGGTTCCTATCCAGAGCAGGACAGGAAGTTCTTCTGAAAAGTATAGCTCAGTCATTACCTATTTTTACTATGTCAGTGTTTCAACTGCCTTTGCGTGTATGTGACACCTTGGAGAAAATGTTTAACCGATATTGGTGGGGTGGAGGAAGTCACAGGAATCGAGGGATACACTAGTTGAGTTGGGACAGATTATGCAAGCCAAAATCACTCGGGGGGCTAGGTTTCAAGAAGTTACATGATTTCAACATTGCCTTGTTGGCGAAACAACGATGGCGCTTGCTGACACAACCAGATACGTGAGCTCTTCGTCGCAGATGATATTCACAGAATTCTTGCCACTCCGATTAGCACCCACCTGATGGATTGTTGGAGATGGCCAGGAGATGTGCGAGGCAGCTACTCCGTTCAACAAGGGTACCGTTTACTTGCTCGGGAGCGTACACAGGTGGAAGCAGATGGTGCGTTTAAAGCTTGGAAAGAACTTTCGGCACTGCCAATCCCGCCTAAGGTGAGGAACTTCTTATGGCGCTGTGCTCGCAATGTTCTTCCGATTCGCGATAACCTTCGTTCGAAGAGGGTGTGGATTGGAGGGGGTTGTCCGCTATGTGGCCATGATATGGAGACTATGGCTCACCTGTTCTGTGAATGTAGCTTTGCAAAACAGGTCTGGGATAGGGATGACATCCTGCAAGGGAAATAATTCCTCGCTTATATGGATGCTACTTTAGGCGCCTCGTTGGTTCATTAAGCGGTTATTTTGGCTGGTGTTTTCTAGGCGATCTGGCAGGCAAGAAATGAAGCAGTATGGCACGACAAACCTCCAGCAGCGGCGTCA